CCAGCGCGTCGCGGGCGGGCCGCGGCGGCGGCGCCCGCGGCCGCCGGAGCGCAGCGGCGGTGCCGGCCGAGGGGCTGGCGCCGGAGCCTCCAGGGGGAAGATGCTCGGTGGTTCGGAGGTGGGGTCCTGGTGATGATGCTGCTGCTGCTGATGGTGGTGATGGTGATGGTGATGGTCATGGTGATGATGATGATGATGATGATGATGATGATGATGATGATGATGATGATGATGATGATGATGATGATGATGATGGTGATGATGATGATGATGATTCTGATGCTGATGATGATTGTGGTGGTGATGATGCTGCTGCTGATGATGATTATGATGGTGATGATGATGATGATTGTGGTGGTGGTGATGCTGCTGCTGCTGATGATGGTGGTGATGCTGATGATGCTGATGATGATGATGATGGTGGTGGTGGTGATGATGATGCTGATGATTCTGATGGTGGTGGTGATGATAATGCTGCTGGTGATGATGATGGTGATGGTGGTGATGATGCTGCTGCTGATGATGATGACGATGATGATGCTGCTGATGATGACGATGATGATGATGATGATGATGATGATGATGATGATGGTGGTGATGATGATGATGATGGTGATGATGGTGATGATCATGATGCTGATGATGATCCTGAGGGATGGGGTCCTGAGGATGGGAAAAGGGATCCAAGGGTGGACTGCCATGGACTCGAGGCACCTCGTCCTCAGCGCCCCCTCTCTTAGGACCCCATCTTGGAACCGCCGATGCAGACAGAAAAGACAACTCGGGTGTTTGGGGGGCAAGTATCAAGGGAGGAAATATCACCCGGACCCGTTACTTGGCGTTTACCAAAGGGCCCTGGGCGTTTACTACACAGCCCTGCCCTGGTCGGTTCCTTCTTTGGGTGTGTTTGCTAAACGGCCTTGCTTGTCGGGGTGGTTATTATGGGGGTGTTTTTTGCCCTCCAAGGTAGTGACATCATACGCTTGTGGAGGACGATCAATGGAGAGGAAGCATGTTGCCAAATGATTTCCAGATGTCTAAAGCATGTCTTAAGCATGTTTTAAGCATGTTTGAAACATGTTTGGAACTTTTTCCGACACTTTGAGCACATTCTGAATTCAATGATAGTACTGCTAGGGTGTCCATTGTCGTGGCATCCGCAATCATAAGCATCACCTTTCGGATGTCCGCGCGGACTTCTCGTGATCGGCGCGCCGAGCCCGCCGGCGGCTCCTCCGGCGCCGCCCCCGCCCGCACGCTCCGAGCGCCAGGGAAGGGGGGGGTATCCGGCTCCGATCCTCGCCGAGCGCGTTCCGCTACTCGCAAAGTGCCTACTCGCAAAAGTCCGAAAGAACACCTGTCTGCTTTGACGTAATTTATCGTAGATCCCCGGCGGGGGATCCAAGCCACTTGCGAGCAGTTATTCTGCGAGCAGTGAAACGCGCTCGTCGAGATCCGAGAAACCCGTGCCGGCCTTTGAAAGCTTATGCTTATGCATCCTTTTGTTTCTCGGGGTGTAGTTCGCCAGGGCCCCAGGCGAGGGGAGTCGGATAGTGATGGGGCCCCGAAGCGACAGAGATATGCCAGAGTCGTTGAGCTGGGTCTGCCGTAGCTTGTGTACTTTTTCGGCCGACGGCAGTTCCTGTTAGTGGGATGGGGCGGGGCAGGCGTCACTGGACGGTTTCCCCCAGGGCCGTAGGCGACCGAGGATGGGAGGAGGAGGGGGAGGGGGAGGGGGAGGAGGAGGAGGAGGAGGAGGAGGAGGAGGAGGAGGAGGAGGAGGAGGAGGAGGAGGAGGAGGAGGAGGAGGAGGAGGAGGAGGAGGAGGAGGACGGGTCGCCTGAGCCCTTTGGAGAAACCCTCCAAGCGTCCCCCAGCACACATCACTAAACCAGGTCCCACCAAACCCAGTCTTGCGATTGCCCGTGAAACATCGGCACAAGCAGGAGCTTTCAGAGGTCAGCGCAGGAGTTCTTGGTTCGTCGCTCTGGCGCCGTGGCGCGCCCCGCGCGCCAGAGGAGGGGGTCCAGCTGGAGGGTTTCTCCGAAGGGCTTAGGCGACCCGTCCTCCTCCTCCATCTCCTCCTCCTCCTCCTCCCCCTCCTCCACCTCCTCCTCCCCCTCCTCCACCTCCTCCTCCTCCTCCTCGGGCCGCCTAGGGTTCCCGGGGGAAACCGTGTAGGTCCAGCGCCGATATAGGAAATCTGCGCGGAGCTCCGAAATTTTAGATGAATGCAGTTGTTGTTCTTCTTCTGCTCCAGAGGACGACCCGCATGCTTGGCTTGAGCAGGTGGAAGATGAGAAGTGTATCGGGTGGGCGAAGTCTCGCAATGCGCACGCGCTGGCCGCGCTGGGGGACCCCCACGAGGACCCGCTGTACAGGCGCCTCCTCGACATCTACGACAGCAAGGAGAAGATTACGCACGTTGCCAAGACGGGGCAGCTGTATTACAACTTCTGGCAAGATGCCGACCACGTGCGCGGCGTCTGGCGCTGCACCACGTGGGAGGAATTCAGGAAGCCGCCCGCGGAGGTGTCCTGGGAGACGGTGCTCGACGTGGACGCGCTGGGCGTGCAGGATGGCGCCAGCTGGGTGTGGCACGGCAAGGTCCTGCTGCACGAGGGGCCCGAGATTGAGCCGGAGCTGTGCCTGGTGAAATTGTCGCCAGGTGGCTCGGATGCAGACGAGGTCCGCGAGTTCGACCTGAAGAAGAGGCAGTTTGTCCCCGAAGCCGAAGGCGGCTTCCGGCTCCCCGCCTGCAAGTCGCAGGTCTGCTACTTCGATCGCGACACGCTCATCGTGGGCACTGATCTGGGCAAGGAGGGGGACATGACAGACTCCGGCTACCCCAATCGCGTGCGGATGTGGAGGCGGGGGACACAGCTGGCGGACGCTCCCGTGGTTTTCGAGGGGTCCACGACAGATGTGGCGACGTTCTCGCATCGGTACCTCGACCGTGGCGTGTGGCATGAGGTGAGATCGCGCATGGTGACTTTTTACACGTCGGAGTACACGTGGAAGCATGGAGGGGAATGGAAGAAGCTGGACATTCCAGAGGATATGTCCGTCTCGACCTTCAAAGACACGTTCCTGCTCACTCTCCGCAGCGACTGGAGCGTGAACGGGTGCACCTTCAAGCAGGGTGCCCTCCTGTCCATCGGTCTGGAGGCCTTCTTCGCGGGAGACCTGTCGAGCATCACCGTTCTTTTTGAGCCTTCCCCGTCGGAGTCGCTTCAGAGCCAGTGCGGGACACTGAACTTCCTGATTCTGGGGCTGCTGAGCGACGTGAAGACAAAGTTGAAGGTGTGGGAGTACAAGGCTGGAGCCTGGCATCACAGAGGAGACCAGACTGACTACGGCATGGAGAGCATTGACCTCCGTGCTGTGGATTCTGACTGTTCGGACGATCTGTGGGCCACGGTTTCAGGCTACATCCGCCCGTCCAGTCTCTACCTCGCCTCGATCGGGTCCATTCTCGAGGGGAAGCTGCTGAACGAGCCCCCACTGAAGGCCCTGCCGCACTTTTTTGAGGCGGGCGACCTTGAGGTGCAGCAGCACTTCACGCCGTCCAAGGATGGCACAATGATACCTTATTTTCAGATTTGCAAGAAAGGCCTGAAGCTGGATGGGTCGAACAAGACTCTGCTGTATGGCTATGGTGGCTTTGAGGTCAGTCTGACGCCTGGCTACAGTGGTTCGCGCGGGTGTGCGTGGTTGGAGCAGGGTGGAGTGTGGGTGGATGCGAATATTCGAGGTGGTAGCGAATACGGGCCACAGTGGCACCAGTGCGCGAAGAAGGCCAATCGCCGCAAGTGCTATGAGGACTTCGAGGCCGTCGCGGAGGATCTCATCGCAAGGGGTGTCACGCGCAGGCAGCATCTTGCCTGTCGCGGTGGGTCGAACGGCGGCTTGCTGATAGGCAACATGCTAGTCAGGCGCTCCTGGGAGCTGTTTGGGGCCCTCGTGTGCGAGGTGCCCCTGCTAGACATGAAAAGGTTCCACAAACTGCTGGCGGGTGCTTCCTGGATGGGCGAGTACGGCGACCCTGATAAGGACTGGGACGACTTCCTGCATGAATACTCCCCCTATCACAACGTCTCGGATGAGACAGCGTACCCGCCGATTTTCTTTGTCACCTCCACGAAGGATGACCGAGTTCACCCTGCGCATGCACGGAAGATGGTCGCCAGGATGCTGTCCCATCCCACTGGTGCTGCCACCACATTGTACTACGAGAACATAGAGGGGGGTCATGGTGGAGCCGCTGACAACAAGCAGCGTGCTTATATGGATACTCTGAAATTCAAGTTTTGTTTGAAGATGCTCGGTGATGTTCAGGCGTGAGCCAGCTTATTTTAATACGGTGTGGCCGTCTAAGGTCAAGGATTGCTTGGTTTAATATAAGACGCCTACGGCGAATCACCGCCGCCCCCTGCCCCTTTGGAAGCGCCTTTGTGGCCGACAGCTGGGCCAGAGCTTGGCCAAGCTATCGGGCCAGTTGTTCCCCGAGTCGGTTTGGAAAGACTTCGGGGAACGCGTGGGGGAGCAAGAAGAGGAGGAGGGGGAGGATCAGGAAAAAGGAGGAGGAGGACAGCTGGTCTGATCGCGTCCTGCTTTTAGCAGTGGTGCGGCGGCCTGGATCCGCCCGCTTCGCCGCCCCGCGGGCCCCGCCTGCTGGCGCCCCGCTCTCAGCCCCGCCCTCGCTCCACCCCGTCGCCTTCTTGGTGCAGGCCCTCCCCGCCAGTAGCGCCCTTTTGGTCATGGCCCCTCGCCGCCCCACCGCCCGCCTCACTCTGGCGCGCTCCTTGCTCGCTGCCGCCTCTGCGCCCCCCCCGCCTGCTGCCCGCCGCGCGCCCGAGCTCGGCGCCCGCCTCGCCCAGAGCCCTGACCCTGCTGCCGCTCGCCCTGCCTCCGCCTTGGCTCCCGGCGGCCCGGCTGCCGCCGGTGCCACTGCTCCGTGAGGGGCCTGCCACTTCACTGTTCTTCCGGCGCGCGCGCGCGCGCGCGTCGGTGGCTTCCTTGGACGGCGTGGCGCCGCGCCCGCCCGCGGACTACGGAGAAGTGTATTCGTGTGTTCGTGTGTTCGTGTGTGTGGGTGTGTGATCCCTTCCCCTTTTCCGAGGGGCCGACCGCGCGCGTTTCTAGTTTGCTCGGGTGCACTTTCCCCGCCTCGTCGCTGCGCGCGAGGCAGCGATCGCTACACCGTGCGTCCGTGTGTGTGTGTGTGTGCATGCGTGCGTGCGTGCGTGCGTGCGTGCGTGCGCGCGTGCGTGCGTGCGTGCTCGCGCGCGCGCGTGTGTATATATATGTTTATGTATCTATATATATATATATATGTGTGTGTGTGTCCTGCGTTGTCACTCGCCCCTCGCGGTCTCGCCTTAGCCGCTGCCACTGCGCCTCGTCTTGTCTCGCCTTTGCTGTAGGTGCTGGCCTTGCGTTTCCTCCTCGTCTTTCCCCCCTTTTCTCCCCACGCATCACTGCCTCGGGTTTGCGTATGCTGCCCCTGGCTTCTGAGTGGGCCAGCGGCACGCGTTTCCCACTTCTCCCACTTCACGCCTCGACGCTGCGCGCGAGGCCGCACCGCCATATACATCTATATCTACATATGTATATATATATATATATACAAGACTGCAGTGGCGCTTCGCGCCATGCACCTTGGTCCTTGAAGTTTGGTCTGCAGGCGGAATAGCAGGAAGGTCAAGCCGACAATTTAGCAATAACTTCTTGTTGCCTGTTCCAGCATCGCCGCTATGATAAGGTTATTCGTTATCCTTCCTCCGTGCTTCTTTTTCTTCGTTTTCGCCATTCTCCCCATCCTCCTCAGCTCTTTTTTGCGGAGGCTCCACCTGGGAGAGCCTCTGGGGGCCTCACAAAAGTTGTTTCAGGCTGGCCTTCTGGAGGCCTCCTGGGCGTATTCTGGGGGCCTCTGGGGGCTTCCTCGGGCCACCCTGCCTCCAACCGCGGTCTCCCTGAACGACCGGGTCACGATTTGGAATGCTTCGGAGGGTGTCTTGGGGCCATCTTGGGCCGCCATGGGGCTCTCTGAGGGCCATCTTGGACCCGTGCTGTGTCGTTTTGGGGCTCTCATGGACTGCCTGGAAGCCCTTTCGGATGGTTGTGGGGCGATCTTGGAGCCTCCCAGGCGGCTTCGGACGCCCAGAAGACCGCCGTCTTGGAGCGTCGGGAAGCCGAAAAGAAGAGAACCCCAAAATTCACCAAAAACCAGCAGAACATCCATGATTTTTGCCTCTTGGGGCCTTCTTGGGAGTGCTCTTGGAGGCCTCTTTGGGGCCGTCCTGGAGGCCTCTTGGGCCATCTTGAGGTCACGTCGGTCACTCTTGGAGCGCTCTTGTGCTGTCCTGGGGGTCTCTGAGACGTCTCCGATGACCCCCCTGATCGCCCTAGGTGTGCTGGGAAGGCTTGACAATACGCCCTGCGAGGCCCGGGGGGCCGCTTCGAGGCCGTCCGGAGGGTCCCAAAGCCCAAGATCCCGGGAGTCCGTTTTTTTTTGGGGGGGGAGCCCCCCCGCCCAGGCTTATAAATATATAGGGAGAGTAATGTATGCACGCACACACGCATACACCTATCTATCTATCTATCTATCTATCTATCTATCTATCTATCTATCTATCTATCTATCTATCTATCTATCTATCAATCCATCTATCTATCTATCTATCTATCTATCTATCTATCTATCTATCTATCTATCTATATATACACAAGGCTTGAAGCTCGCTGCGCTTCGCTTTTAAGTCTTGGTGTAATACATTGTCAGGGGCAAAGGGGGGAGGACAAACAGGCGTATTGGGCCGAGGCGCAGCTACACAGAAAGGTTTCCAATTCTATGTTTGCGGAAGTCCTAGGCGGGAGCGCCATTTCGGAATCGAACCCGAAAGTTTCGACATCGTTCGAAATCGTTTTTTTTCGAGGAAGTATGAAGCGAAACCGCTCTTTCGAAATGGCCACACCGTTTGGCATTTAAGATATTAAAAGCCCTGACCCGAAAACTCGAAAATGCAGCTTTCGCTTAGGACTTCCTCTCCAAAGCGAGCTCGACTGGATTTCGAAACCCTCGGGCTCGATTTCGAAATGTGGCTTTCGTTTAGGACGTCCTCCCCAAAACGAGCTCGACTGGATTTCGAAACCCGCGGGCTCGATTTCGAAAGGGCGGTGCCGCCCGAGACTGGAGCGAAACATGCTTCAACCGAACATTGTACTGGGGCCCCGCGGCCTAGAGGGCCTACTGCCAACGTTGTACTGGGGCCTCGTCGCCTAACGGGAGGCGTTGAATTTTGGCCGAAGTTTCGTAGCGGCGAAGTAGAACAGCACTCTTTGCACCAAATTCTGTCAGAGGACGAATGCATCTGCGTTGAGGATTAAGCAGAAAGAGGTAGAAGTTGGTGGCATTGGGCGCAAGCTAAAGCTTAGCGTTACGGTGGCATGGGAGCGGCCTGACGTGATGGAACTTGAGCCTGCAACAGCGGATGATCAGAGCGGCGATCGTGCCGGCACACAATGAACGTCACATCGGAATTCCAAGGAGGAATGTTGGACCCCGAAGGCCATCCAGAATCGATCGAATGGCGTTCGGCCCAGCGGGCCACCGTGTCTGGATCGTGAGTATGAAGCCTCATGGATGTCCTGGGCCGGCACGGAAACGGAAAGAGCGGCTTTTTGGGGGCTTGCCCGAGATGGTTCATGGCGCTTGTCGCTCTTGGTAGCCTTGGTGTGAAGGGCTGGTTACGTCACCGCTCGCTCTTGGGAGCCGTGGTTGTCAGAGATAGTGACGTTGCCGCTCACTATTGGGAACCTTGGTTGTCAGAGTTTGTCATGTCACCGTTCGCTCTTGGGAGCGTTGGTGTGCAGAGCTTCTACGTTACCGATCGCTCTTTGCTTGGCGTCTATGGGCCTTCTTAGTGCTCCTTTGCGGGGTGATTTTGGGGGCTACCGAGCGCTTTTTCTTTGGCGTCTCTGGGCTCTTTGAGTGGTATTCAGTTTTTTTTTTTTTGTTGTTTTTTTTCCCCCCCCCTATTTGTGACCCTTTTGGGCCGTCTTGGGGCGCTTTTGGGCCGTCTTGGGGCGTCTTGGAGGCCTTGACTCGTCTTGGGGCTCTCTTGGTGGCTCCCTGGGGCCCTCCTGGGACCCTCTTGGGGCCTCTCGGGGCTGTCTTGGGGCCCTCTTGGGCCGTCTCGGGCGCCTCTTGGACCGTTTTGGCGCCCTCTTGGGCCGTTCTGGGAAGCCTCTTTGGAGCCTCTTGGCCTGTCTTGGGGCGGTCTCGGGGGCATTTTGTAGTGTCTTCGACGCCGTAATGGGCGAAAAATTGTATATGCTGAAAATATACGTTTTCCCATTGAAAAATCAAGGAGTTGGGCCTCTTGGGTCCCTCTTGGGAAGCTTCTTGGCCGCCTCTTGATTTCTCCTGGAGCCTTTTTGGGGCCCTCAGGGACGGGCCAGAGAAGAGCCTCCGGGGCCTTTGGGACCGCCAGATTCTATTGGGGGAGTGTTGGCCATCCCTGGTGTGCGATAATTCAGACATGTATATATATATATATATATATATATATGTATGTATATATGTATATGTATATGTATATTTATAGGTATATGTCGATGTATATGTGTATGCATATGTATATGTATATGTATATGCATATGTATATGTATAGGTATACGTATATGTAGCTGTATATGTATATGTATATGTATAGGTATGTGTTTAGGTATATGTAAATGCATATGTATATGTGTATGTGTATGCGTTTGTGTATGTGTATGTGTATATATATGTATATGTATATGTATAGGTATAGGTATATGTCTATGTATGTGTGTGGTTGTGGGTGTGTATATGTCGAGCCAGTTACTTATGCGAGACCCTGGGTTGTCTCTGAGAGCTCGGCCGTGCGTCGACGCGCGCGTTCCTCCTTTTGCGCTCGACTTTCTGCGCCCTGTCGCCGCGCGCGGGGCCGCGTCCGCAAAAAAACTATGTAAATCGTTGCAGAGATGTGCAGACACAGAAATTTCGAGCAATAGGATCGTGAGGGCGTGCTCGCAGGCTTCGCCGACGTGGCCGGACCCCCGTGGCCTCCCCAAGTTCCCTGGGAAGTGCCAGTGGGGGTTTCCAGCGAGCCCCGATGGGGCTGGATGGGCCCTCAGGGATTTGTGGAGGCTTCGGCGGGGCCTCCAGGGGCCTCCAGTGGGGCCTCCAACGGGGCCTCCCATGGTGGGCTCCCAGGGAACCCCGGGGAAGTTCTTAGGGGCCCCTCCTGGACCTCCACCTCCTCCTCCTCTTCCTCCTCCTCGTCCTCCTCCTCCCTCCTTCTCCTCCTCCTCCTCGTCCTCCTCCTCCTCCTCTTCCTCCCCCTCCTCCTCCTCTCCTCCTCCTCCTCCTCCTCCTCCTCCTCCTCCTCCTCCCCCTCCTCCTCCTCCTCCTCCTCCTCCTCCTCCTCCTCCTCCTGCTTCCTCATTTCCCCGCCGCGATCGCCCCGCAGGCGTCCTGCAGCTTCTCGGCCTACGAGGACGCGCGCGCGCGGGCGTTTCGGCCGAGCCCCCCTGGCGCATGCAAGCAGCCCTCGAGTACCTCGCACAAGGACTCGGGGTGCTCGCTTACCAGCGGCTGCGGGGCGTGCTCTACGAGCGCCTCGTTGGCTATCCCTTCCCGGGGGACGAGGGCTTGCCCCCTGCGGGCAGCTCTTGGCCCTTCGGCTGGGGCCCCGAGGGCGGGGGAGGGGGCACGTGCCCTTCCCAGCCTCCTGGGCCTCCGCCGCCCGCCGTCTGCCTCGGGCTGGCGGTGGACTTGAGCAGTGGGCTTACGCCCCTCCTGCTCTCCAGCGTGGTCGCCGCCCTGGTGGCCGCCGCAGCTTGCTGCTGTTGCGGCGGCTGCTGCGTCGGAGCGCTTGCGCTCCGCTGCTGGGTTGGGCGCTATCGTGCTCCCCAGCCTCAGCCGGCAGTGCGCCTGGATCCACTCAGGGCACTCCCTGCTGCCCCCGTTTACGGGGGGCGCCGCGCGGAGGCGCGGGCCAGGGCGGCGGGCTACCGCCCTGACGTGCTCCCTCGCCCTACTGGGGCCAAGGGGCACCAGCTTCTCATTTGCTGCCCTCGGGCAGCCCAGGCACTACCTGGTCGGGGCGCGCCCCGGCGGGTCCCTCTGGGGTTCGTCTCTTCTTCGCCTCTTGTATGGCTGCTGCCACTGACGGTGCCGTCGCCGCCGTTCCAGAAGGGCCTGTCTGGCCCGACCTTCGCGCGTTCGACCCTCCCAGCGCCAACGCTTGCGCTCGATGGCGTCTGGGCGAGTACGAGTGCGCGTATGCAGCCATCCCCCCGGGGCGCCGCGAGGGAGGTATTTTACTCGCCCTACCTCTTGCCTTCAGGGATGCTGCTGCCCTTGGAGAAGCAGATGTAGAGGGTTACTCAGGACTACTGGGGCCGTTCCAAGTGACAAGCGCGCCACTTCTAGGGGCGGCGTCTCG